TAAGTAAAGAATATGAAAATTTTAATAACAAGATCAATACTATAGTATGATTTCTATCAATAGAAGGTAAATGAATTTAATTTCTAGTATTAGAGCTTAATTTTTCATTCCTGTTGTTTAAATTTTGTAAACTTCAAGAAACTAATATATTGACTCAGGAGAATTAAAATTTAAGATCAAAAGAGGGAATTTCCATCTTGGGGGATCTGAAATTTTAACTACTTAAGTTAAAGTGTATATATGATTACAGGAACTCTTAATTATAGGTACTGGAAGTGAAATGAAGACTATGAGAAAGTTAATTTCATTATACCAGAGGTTTATTTATGAGTACTGAAACTCATTTCTAAATCTACAGGAACATAAAAAAATAAGTCCAGGAAATTAGATTCAAATTAAGAGAACTTTTTTTTATTCTGCAACAGACATAAAAAATTAGTCAGTTAACTTAATTTTTTCAAAAGGATACAAAATTTATATTTGTGTGAGGTATAATTTGAATGAATACCATTATAAACAATAGTTGAGTCTTTACGAACCAAATCAATTTTTCTTTTTAAAGATGTGCCAAGTAATATTAAAAAAATACTATTAGAAAGGTACTTAAGTGGTATAAAATTTGAAATTCCAAAATAAAAAATTAATTATGGTCTTCCTTTTTAATCAGAAATTCAATAACATTTAGTTTCCTATCAGGAAATATCCCCTATTTGATTTATATCTATATTTATCTTTAATAGATATTCTATCAAAAATATCATCTTTTTCTTTATCCTTTAAGGAATTTAGATTTTTCACACACATCTCCATTTCTTGTTATTATCAAATAATCCATAGGAATTATGTAAATCAAACGCATACATAATCCTTAAGGTACAGTCATTACATATCCAAAGTCATATCCCTATTTCTAAAGACTAGTTCTCAGGTATCCATAATCAAGAAGAGTTTAAACTGACTTAAATTGGCTTAATCCAACGATCTTAATCAGCCAATTTTCCAATTGTATTTATCTGACATATATTTTTTTATTCAATGAGTGTGGCATCAAGAAATTGCCTTGTAGGCAGGATCCATATACAACCCAATGGCTTTATTAGCATTTTCTTAGAGAGTCTTTTACAATAATCGTTAATTCCCCAAATTTTTTGCATCAAAATTAAAAATAAAAATAATTTTTAGAATTAAGCCATAAAAATATTATCTTTTAAATTTAATTGGATTCTTGTCAATTCAGGATGATTATGGCGCTCTAATTAGAAAATATGATTCAAAGTTAAAATCATAATCAATTTAATTTTTAATTCATCAAAATTTGATAGAGCTTAGCTAATGAATATTCTTGAAATATTTCAACTTAACGATTGAATTTTTTTATTTGACTTGGAGTCAATACAACTTTAAGAGTTTAAAAAAATAGGAATCCTAATTATTTATTAAAATTGATGAATTCAAATGAAATAAGATGATTTTAGATCAATAAATTTTTTTAATATAAATTGAATTAGAAGTATTATTGAAACCTTTAAAAAAATTTCATTAAATTTGAATATGAAAATAACATTTTTCTGAAATAATGTTAATAGTATTTCAAATATTCATTTTATTTAATAAGTCAATTTTTACGATTGTTTTATTACACAGAGATCATTAATAATAAAAAATATAAGAATATAAATTTAATTGGATCAAACTCCTCAAATGATGATATTAACATGAATAAGATTGTAATTCACTTCATGTAAATTGGCAATATTTCATTTTATTTCAGAATTTATCTTAAATTTTAATAATTTCATGTTTGAAAGATCTGCAATCCAGAAGTTATGTTATGTTAATTTTATTACCATATCAATCCTTAATGTGATATTTGTAATTTAAATAAGTTTAATGGTAATCGAGCAATAAAATTGATTCAGCTGTAGATAATAAATAAAACAATATAAATGTTATAATTGTAATATTAGACTCAGTCTAAACAACTTCTATAGGAGCATGTTTAGATTGTGCAACTCTAGATTAATTTTTGAGTACCATTGCAAATAAAATA